AAATTTATAACAATGAATTCCTGTATCAGGAAAACAAACAACCTAATGGCGAACCTCAAGCTTCTAGAAAAAGAACAGGAAGTCATGGGGTCGGGGATTTAGCTCAGTGGTTCCGCTGCCTGCCTTGCAAGCGCAAGGACCCGAGTTCGATCCCAGGTACCAAAAAAAAAAAAAAAAAAAAAGAACAGGAAGTCAAACCCAAAGCTTGTATGAGGAAGGAAATTATAAAAATCAGAGCAGAAATTAATGCAATGGAGACTAAGAAAACAATACAATGAAGCAATGAATCAAAGAGTTGGTTCTTTGAAACATTAAATGAAATTGACAAACCCTTAGCCCAAAAGGGGAAAGAAAAGACTCAAATTCATGCAGTTAGGAATGATAAGGGTGAAATCACAACAGATCCTGCAGAAATCCAGATCATCAATACCTACTTTGAGAACTTGTACTCTAATAAGATGGAAAATACAGAAGAAATGAACAGATTTCTGGATACGTATGAGTTACCAAAGCTGAATCAAGGAGATATAAAAATTGTAAATTAACCAGCATCATTCAGTGAAGTTGAAGATATAATTAAAAACCTACCAACAAAGAAAAGACAAGGCCCAGACTGATTCACTGCTGAATTCTACAAGAAATTTAGAGAAGACCTAATGCTGCTACTTCTCGAACTCTAATGGAATTGAAGGGGAAGCAATACTCCCCAATTCGTTCCTGGATGCAAGCATTACCTTGATTCCAAAAACAGAGAAGCATCCAACCAAAAAAAAAAGAACTACAGGCCAATCTCCTTAATGAACACTGACAGAAATATCCTCAATGAGATACTGGCAAACAGCAAACAATCAAGAAGATACACACTCTGACTGAGTAGGATTCATCCCAGGGATGCAGGGATGGTTCAACATATACAAAATCAATAAATGTAATACACTATATTAACAGAGCCAAAGACATGATTATCTTAATAGACACAGAGAAAGCATTTAACAAAGTCCAACACCCAATCATGATAAAAACCCTACAGAAAATTGGAATAGATGGTCTTCATCTCAATCTGATAAAAGCCGTCTACGAAAAACCAACTGCCAACATCACACTAAATGGACAAAAGCTGAAAGCTTTCACTCTAAAATCAGGAACAAGACAAGTATGTCCAGTGTCACAACTCTTACTCAATATAGTTTTGGAAACATTAGCCATAGCAATTAGACAAGAGAAAGATATAAAAGTAATAAGAATAGAAAAGGAAGAAGTTAAATTATCATTATTTGTGGATGACATAATACTCTACGTAGAAGACCCCAAAAACTCCACCAAAAGACTTCTAGACTTAATAACAAAATTCAGTAGTATAGCTGGATACAAAGTCAACATGCAAGAATCAATAGCTTTCCTGTTCAAAAATAACAAACTCACTGAGAGAGAAATTAGGGAAACAACACTTTTCACAATAGCATCCAAAAAATGAAATACCTAGGAATCAATCTAATAAAGGAAGTAAAAGACTTTTACTTTAAAAACTACAGTACTCTGAAAAAAGAGATCAAAGATGATATCAGAAAATGGAAAGATATCCCTTGTTCTTGGGTAGGAAGAACCAATATAGTGAAAATGGCCATACTTCCAAAATTGTTATACACATTTAATGCAATTCCAATCAAAATTCTAACAGGGTATCTCACAGAAATAGAGAAAAGAATCCTAAAATTCATTTGAAACCAACATTGAATGGTATGAGAAAGAAAGTATGAAAACAGTATCATTCACAATAGCATCAAGAAAAATGAAGTATCACTGGGATTTAGCTCAGTGCTTCTGCCACCTGCCTCGCAAGCACAAGGTCCTGAGTTTGATCCCCAGTACCAAAAAAGTACCAAAAAAAAAAAACCCAAAGAAAAATGAAGTATCTAGGAATTGACCTAACCAAGGAAGTGAAAGAACTCTACAAAGAAAACCACAGTACCTTGAAGAAGGAGATTGAAGAGGACATCAGAACGTGGAAATATGTCCCCTGCTCCTGAATAGGCAAATATTGTCAAAATGGCTATACTTCCAAAACTGTTATACAGATTCAATCCAGTCCCAATCAAAATACCAGCAGCATACTTTAGTGGCACAGTTTGTAATAGCTAAATATTGGAAACAGTCCAAATGTCCATCAACCGATGAATGGATAAAGAAGATGTGGGTTTTTTTATACACTGGAGTACTACTCAGCCATAAAGAAAAATAAACTGGAGACATTTCAAGCTAAATGGATGCACCTTGAGACCATACCCTTAAGCGAAATAAATCAGACACACATGTGTAAATACCACATTGTTTCCTTGGTATAAGAAACTGAAAGTGTAAATGAGGACCAAAATGTATAATAGATATTGTGAAATAGGAAGAAAATGTTCAAATGGGTAGGGGAACTAGGGAGGGGAGCAGGGAAAAGGAAGGAAGGGAAAGGAAAAAATGAGAAAAGAAGGAAAAAATGGAAACAAAGTTTTTGTAAGTAAGGAAAAGAAATGGGGTTGAAGGGAGGATAGGGGAATGGGAAAGAATAAGAATCGGTATACATCATGTACAGGTACAAATTCCCTATGATAAACGTGATCATCATGTATACCTAAAATGTACCAACAAACTTAATTAATTAAAAAAATTAACAGAACCTCAATCACACAAGAAATAGCAGCAAGAATCAACAAATGGAATTATATCAGACTAAAAAGCTTGCATCCATGAATGACAGAGAAATTTTGCTCTCTCTCTCTCTCTCTCTGCTTTAAAAAAATTTTTTTTGTTTGTTTGTTTGGGGTTTTTTTATTATTTGTTTTTGGGATTTTTGTGAGTGTGAACATTGTTTTTTGTGTAGTTTTGTTTTATTTTGTTCTTATTTTTGTTTTTTCCTTTTTTCCTTCCCTCCTGTCTTCTTTCCCAGTTTCCTGATGCTTGGGTAATCTTTGTCCTTCAGCTTTGCTTCTAATCTCACTTCTTTTATTTTTCAATTTTTTCCTCCTCTCCCTTTTGAATTTTCTACCCTTATGGTAAACTTGCTCTATTGAGTGGATATTTACTGTATATAATTTCCTGATCTGTCTTAGAATTTGTTATATAACTATAAATCTTGTACCTATGGTTAAAGGTGTCAAATGTCATTTTCCAGTCTGCGTTTGATGCTATTGTTATTGCCAATGTACTACTTTAGCCAAGGTGACTTAGCTATGATCAATTGATCTTCCTTATACTTCAGAAGTGCCCTAGAATATAAATAAAGCACACTTCTGGGTGTGTCTTTAGGTATTTCCAGAGATGATTGGATTATAACTGCTCTAACTTAATAAATTGATACATCCATTGATGAGGTCACAATTTTATGGCATTTTGGGGAGGTGATGGAGAATTAGGAGGTGGGGATAGTTCAGTGGAGGTATGAATGGGTATGGGGGTGTGGCTTTGGGGACTATATCTTTTCCCTTCCTCTCTGGCTCTTCCTCTCTCTGTATCTTGGCTGCCATGAAGTGAGCAGCTGTCCTCTACCACCCCATTCTACCACGATGTTTCTGCCTGGGTGCCAGCCAACCATGGACTGAAATCTTTGCAACTATGAGCCAAAATAAACCTTTCCTCTTCTAAATTATTTTCTGATTGAGGCATGACAACAAAAAGCTGATGAATAAAGATTCACATGAATTTTGGAGTACCAAGAGCTATGCTGTAGTTTGAATGTTTATATTCCCCCAAAGTACCTATGTTGAAATCCTTTCTCCTGAAGAGATGTTTTTAGAATGTAGAGCACTGAGGGAGAGGGTGATTAGAATGCAAAGTCCTCATGAATAACATTAGTTTCCATATAAAAGAGTCTCAAGAGCCAGGTGAGGTAGTGAAGGTCGGTAATCCCAGCACTCAGGAGGCTGAGGCAGGAGGATTGCTGTGAGTTCAAGGTCAGCCTGAACTGCATATTAAAACCCTGTCTCAAAAATAGTAATAAAAAATAAAAGAGTCTCAAGAAAGATTCCTTGATCCTGTGCCACATGAGGTAGAGTATAAAGATGGCCATCTATGAGAAAGCTGGCCCCCACCATACCTAATGCTTTGAGCTTAGACTTCCCAGCCTCCACAATTGTGAGAAACAACTTTCTGTTGTTTATAAGCTACATGGTTTATGATACATTGTTATAACAGCCCAGATGGACTAAGATAATAGTCAAAGGAAATGAAATAGGTACCTTGAGGTATATTAGCACTTTCATGTTTATTCCAGCATTATTCACAGTAGAAAATATTGAAACCCAAGCATACATGGACAAATGAATAGATGAGGAAATGAGGTGTGTTGTGTGTGTGTGTGTGTGATGGAATATATTCAGGCTTTAAAAAAGAAGATCCTGGGCCGGGGATTTAGCTCAGTGGTTTCGCTGCCTGCTGTGCAAGCACAAGGTCCCGAGTTCGATCCCTGGTACCCAAAAAAAAAAAAAAGAAGATCCTGTCACTTGCAACAATGAACCTAGGGGACACTGTAATATATGAGTTAAGCTAAGCAAAGAAAGATGAATACTGCATAATGTCACTTATATGCTAAATCTAAAAAAAAAATCAAATTCTCAGAAGCAAAGAGTAAAATGTTAGTTCTCAGAAATGGAGAGGTTGAGATAAACAAGATATTCATCACAGAACATAAAGATTCATTTATGCAGGATAAATAAATTCTGAAGGTCTAATATATAACATGGTGACTATTGTTAATACTGTACTTACTGTATTTTTGGAATTTGCTTAAAAAATAAAGTTTAAATTGTTTTCACTGCAAAACACAAGAAATGCGAGGTTATGGGTATATTAATTACCTTGGTATAATTATTTCATTTAAAATATACAATTTTTATTTACCAATTAAACCTTAATATATCAGGAGGTGGGAAGATATTGCTGTGGCTATGTTTGGAAACTACAATATACTTCATTAACAAATCATAGTAAATTAAAAAGAAAGAATGAAATTTATATTACTTCCAAAACATCTGCCATATGTTTGAAATTATTTTCATAATCCTATTTAAGACATATTCAAACACAAAACCTTCAACTTCTTCCCTTACATTTTTAATTTTTTCATCATATTTCATCCTCACAGTTTCTGTATCTTTCTCTTTTCCTTGCTCTGATTTATTGCTCTCTTTTATTAGTTTGATTTCATTATTTAATTCTTCAGTGTAAATTTGTATCAAAAGTTCTGCCCGATGCTTCAACCTCTCCTCTATGTCCTTGTAGATGTCATCAGAAAAGTAAGCTCCTTGGTTGTCCTGCACCATTTTCTCTATCAGCTCCACCAGCTCCTGCACTTGAACTTCCTTCTCAGCCTGCCCTGCTTTGTTGTTAATGGCAAAGCAGCGGCCCCCACACTCCCTGATGATGCTTTTTAGGTTCACGTCTGCATCTACCAGGAAGTCATTTAAGTTACTGTCATCCAGCTCATCTTTACGAGTGAATAAGACCATCATGTGCTTCAAGGCTGGCTTCCCAAAGACAGCCTTGATCAAGGCAATGGTTTTCTGCTCTTCCTCCGTGTAGCGGCCCAGCTGTATAACCATGATGATGGCATGAGGCCCTGGGCAGGAGGCGATGACACAGCGGCTGATTTCTGCGCACGTAGTTTGTAGCTTCTCCTTGGTGTCAAAGAGTCCTGGAGTGTCAACGACAACAAGGTCTCTCCCGTTCCATTTTCTGGTTTCTTTTTGGCAGGTCTTGGTAATAGCTTGGGCACAAACTCGAGAAAGAAATTTTTGTGTCCCAAGGATGGTGTTTCCTGTAGCACTTTTCCCACTTCCGGTTTTCCCGACCAGAACGATCCTCAGAGCATTGTTCTGATGCTCAGCCATGTTCACGTAAGGAGATTTGGGCACTTAGGTGGGTATAGACCTTAAGGAAAGAAAGATGCCAATTTAGGTAAATGGAAACCATTCCCAATTCTCTTTTCTATTTTTTTCTCTCTCTCTCTGAAAATTAATACTATTATATTTTCCATGTATGTTTCAGTACAGAGTGAAATATAAAACAGTCCAATTACTAGGGAAGTGATAATAGAGAAATTAAAGAATTTCTTCACAATGGAGTACCTGGTCTAGATGATTTCACAGACAAGTACTATTAAACTTTTTTAAAAATCTAATAATCTCAATGTTAAATTGTTCCTGATCATATAAGAATGTCCCCACTCCCACCACGAGCCCATATGCCAATATGCTGGCCCATGCACAAAGCCAGAGCCAAGGGTGAATGCATTTGTGTCCTTGCCCCTGTGCCCACTGCCACTGCTACCAGTTATAGCCAAAGAAGCTATAGGGAAACTATGCTCAGCGTCCAACTAGAACCAAAGCGAAATAGTCTTCAGGGAAAATGCTTTTACTATGAAATTCATCTTTTAAAACTGATAGAGACCAAAAAAATAAATAAATAAATAAATAAAAATTTTAAAAAACTGGTAGAGACCATTGATATACTAGATGTGGAAATATGATCATAGAGGCATAAGAAGTATGAAAAAGGAAAGAAAACCTGGTGTAGTGGCACACACCCATAATCTTACAACTCAGGAAGCTAAGGCAGGGGGATTGTGAGTTCAAGGGCAGCCTGAGCTACATAATGAGTTCAATCCAATCCCCATCAAAATACCAATGACGCTCTTACAGAAATAGAAAAATAATCCTAAATTTATATGGAAACGCAAAAGACTCCAGATAGCCAAAGCAATCCTGAACAACAACAACAACAACAAAAACCCCACAAAGCTGGAAGCATTATAACACGTGATTACAAGATACACTACAGAGCCACAACAACTGAAACAGCATTGTACTGGCAGAAAAACAGACATATAGAGCAATGAAATAGAATAGAGACCCAGAAATAAACCCATACATCTACAGTTTTGCTTATTTTCTTTCTTTTGGGGGGGCGGGGGGGGGGTTACCAGGGATTGAACTTGGGACCTTGCGCTTGCGAGGCAGGCAGCAGAACCACTGAGCTAAGTACCCGGCTCTAGTTTTACTTATTTCCAACAAAGGTGCCAAAAACATACATTGGAGAAAAGAAAATCTCTTCAATAAAATGGTGCTAGAAAACTGGATGTTCACATGCAGAAGACTGAAACCTGACCTGTACTTCTCAGCTTAAGCAAAAATTAATCCAAACTAGATCAAAGACATAGAACAACTAGAAGAAAACATAGGGGAAACACTTCAACATACTAGAATTGGCAATGATTTTGTGGATAAGACCCCAAATTCACAAGTAACAAAAGTAAAAATAGACAGATGGTGTTATATCAAGCTAAGAAACTCCTGCACAACAAAAGAAACAATCAACAGAGCAGAGATACAACCTGGAGAATTGGAGGAAATTTGCAAGCTATTCATTTGGCAAATGATTAATATCCAGAGTATATGAGTAACTCAAAATATTTGCCAAAAACCTTTTAAATAATGCAACTTATCAATGGGCAAATGATCTAAATAAATATTTCTCAAAGGAAGAAATATAAATGGCCAACAAATATATAAAAAACTGTTCAATATCATTAGTCATCAGAGAAATGCAAATCAAAACCATTGTGAAATATCATCTCACTCCAGTTCAAATGGCTATCATCAATAAGACAAAAAGGAACAAATACAAGTGAAGATATGGAGAAAAAAGAATTCTCCTTCACTGTTGGTGGGGATGCAGATTAATATAGATACTATGGAGAACAGAATGAAAGAACTAAATGAAAGAACAGAATGAAAAAAACTAAACACAGACCTACCTACAGTCCAGCTATCTCACTTTGGGCTACATCTAAATGAAATGAACCTGCTATTCCAAAGAGATATTTCACTCTCATATATATTGCAGCCCTGTTCATAATAGCTAGGATAAGAAACCAACCTAGGTCCCCATGAATGGATGATGCATAATGAAAACATGGTGTATACACACAATGGAATGATAATAAGTCATAAGGATGAAATCCTGTTGTTTTTGGAAAAGTGGATGGAATTGGAGGACTTTTTGGTAAGTGAAATGCCAGGCCCAGAAAAAGTAGTATTGCATGTTGTTTCTCATATGTGGAAGCTTTTTAAAAATATATTGAATGTAGACTAGTGATTACTGGGAGGCTGGGAAGGTTGGGGGGCATGGAGGATAAAGAGAAGTTGGATAATGGGCACCAACACACAGCCAGATAGAAGGAATAAGTTCCAGTCCTCTGCAGCACAGTAGGGTGATTATGGTTCACAACAACCTAACACGTACTTTATGAAAAACTATATAAGAGGAGCTTAAGGCTCTAAACATAGAGAAATGATACGAGGAGTTAGGGATTTAGCTCAGTGGTGCAGTGCTTGCTTTCCTAGCAAGTGCAAAGCCCTGCATTCAGGCCCCAGTACCAAAAAGAAAATTAATAATTTTAAAAAGAAACGAAAAGGCAATGGACATGCTAATTACTCTAATTTAATCTGTACATATATTGCAACATCATATTGAGCCACATGAATATGTATAATTATTACATGTTAATCAAAAAGAAAAAAGAAATTCTAACACTATTTTTATGAAACAAGTATAATACTGATTCAAAAAGATTCTACCAAAAAGAAAACTATAAATGTGTCTTCTTTGTGGATATTGATAAAAAAAAAGCTAAGTGAGTGATTAGATACTAGCTAATAATACATTATGTTAGAGATTTATTGCAAAAATAGTACAGCAGTTACATAAGATAATATTGATTGTTAGGCTATATCCCATTAATAGATTCATATGAAAATTATCTAGATGCAGAAAAGGTGTTTGACCAAATTTCACATTGATTCTTGCTTGAAACATTTTATAAAATAGGAACAAGTAGAGACTGCCTTAACATGATTTCAAATATCCTGAGTTCGATCCCCGGTACCAAAAAACAAAAAACAAAAAACAAAACATAATTTCAAATAAATACAAATTTCATTTTATCATCATCTTTTTTTCTCTAGAGGTAAGAAATTGATGACAGCATTTATTTGGATGAAAAAAATGACAATTATCCTGGAAAAGAACAAAGAGAGAAAGGTATCCATACCTAACAGTAAATCCTTATAGTCTTTATAATTAAAAGAAATAGCTTGTTGGTGGATGACTAGAGACATAGAACCATGTAGCAAAAACAGAAAATTCAGATACCCACCACCATGCATATCTTATATTCACTTATATTGAATTTAATAATCTCACATTACATTTTTATTCCATAAGCCAAAATTGCCTTCCAGCTCTAAATAAAATCTGCCTTGAGGGTTGGGAATGTGAACCAGAGGTAGAGCACTTACCTAGCCTGCTCAAAGCCCTAGGTTGGATCCCTAATGTGGTAGAGGGTGGAGAGAGCCTGGAAGGCACCAATTTCTTACTAAAGTCACCAGGCAATGCTCTGTGTCTATCACATCCACTGGGAGGACGGTTATTTGGTTAAAGTTCATCCTATCAAATATAAGGTGCACAGACACCATGCTAAGAGATCTCCTTACACCCCCTCCACCCCCACCACTACCACCCTGCTGCACCCTCCTTGGGGCACTGCTGCCACAGCACCTTGACCCCTGCAGACCAGAATCCACCCACACAGAGCTGCCCTGTCCCCAACGGCCCCTCCCAGCTTCATGGCTCGGGATCCTCTTCACAGCAAAGCCCACCTTCTTTTGAAGGAGCTGATGAGTTCTCAGGTTTTCTCCTAGGAGGCCTTTGAGCTGATGCTTCTGCTTTAAGTGTGAGATCAAAGTGCTTGCACCTCTGAAAACCACTCAATCAGGAAACTCTTATTGGGTGGAGCCAGCAAGAAACTGTCTCTCAAGAAACAAAAACATTGCTCTATAGTTTAGTGAATGGTTCAGTTTTGCCAAGTTGAAATTTGTTTATGTGACTGTTGTAACATTAAAACTTTCAAAGTTGTATTTTTTCAGGGTACAGGGCTGAATTTTTGAAAGCCTTTTAAAATGACCCAAGTCAAATGGAGTGGGAGCCTGATGGCTAACTTGGGAATAAAGGAAGACAGGTATTTACCTTTATGTCTCCAACTATAGAGCCTGTAGGTGCTTCTTGGTGATTGTACAACAGGGATTTTTTTGTTATAGTCCTTCAGGAAGGTCTTGAGTTACTCGTTCAACAATTAATACCACTGAGGCACAAAGCCAAAAAGGCCTAAACCATTAGGTAACAAAAGTGGAAGAAAGGAAGGTGAGAATTCTGCTAATAACCCCATAGCTTCTCTGGTTTTTCTACATTATTCTTCCAAGTTTGAAAATATATAATCTGACAAGTAAAGACACACTCAAAAGCTCAGAGCTTTTTCTGCTGCTAGATGCAAGATAAAAGTTTAACTTACTAATAAAAGAATATGGGGGCCAGAGATTTAGCTCAGTGGTTCCTCCACCTGCCCCGCAAGCGCAAGGAACCAAGTTCGATCCCCAGTACAAAAAAAAAAAAGAAAGAATATGAAAGGAATATTTCCTCATACTGTCCTGGCTTTTACACAAATTGCCTTAAGTGTATCTGATTCCTGTTGCTTCCTATAACAAATTACCAAAAATATAGAGGATGAAACAACACAAATTTATTCTCTTAGAATCCTGGAAGTCAGAAGTCCATAATGAGTTTAAGGGAATAAAATAAAGATGATGATAAAGCTATTCACTTGGGGGCTCCAGAAGGAGAATCAGCCCCCTGTCCCTCCCGCTGCCAGGGTTCCTTAGCTATTATCATCACATTGGCTTCTTCCTCTTTTGAACTTCTTGCCACTCTCCTATCAGGACTTCTGTGATTGAATTTAGAGTCCACCCAGATAATTAAGGGTAATCTCTCCACGATTCCTGATTTAATCTCATCTTCACACCGCATTTTGCTGTGTAAGGTAACATGCACAGATTCTGGGAATTTGACCGGTCATGGTTATTTTTTGTTGTTTGGGGTTTTTTTGTTTGTTTTTGGTACTGGGGATCGAACTCTGGTCCTTGAGCTTCCAGGGCAAGCACCAGAACCACTGAGCTAAATCCCCAGCCCCAACATGGTTATTTTTGAAGGCACCTTTATTCAGCCTGCCATGGTCTGCCCTCTGGTTTGCAAACATTCATGTCATGGTGAAGGAAAGGGCTGCTTAGAATAGAAATCAGGAAGCAAATTAAGAGCCTGTCATGGCCGTCTGAACCACTCAGTAATTTCTCCTCTCTAGGATTTGCAATTTGATTTGCACAATTTCTGCTGTTGTCTTCATATCTTCCTTTTGGTTTCAATTTGACATTCTTTCTTTATTATTTCGCTCCAAGAATACCATACATAAAGTGTTCTCAACTGCTTTGTTACAGATAATAAATATAATGGATCAAACTCACCAGGAAATAAAGGAACAATTATAATGTATATATCAGCATATCACAGCATAAAATTTTTTGTTTCTTATAATGCCTTATATTTTCAAGAAATGAGCAGTAAAATGATTCTCGTCAATTCACTTGTGCATAGAAAAAAGCATATATCCTGCCTCAGTCACAGCCATTTCCTGCCTTACCTCCTCCTCATTCTGTCTTTTCTGTCACTGAAAGTTGTGATCAGATCATAGGCAGAAAAGCCAGGTTACAGGGCCCCTCACTCTTTCTTCGTACCGGCTAAAGTGTTCACAGGAGCAGGAGGGGGAGGGTTTGGCCAAGAAGCAATATCACCATGTACAGTGACCTATGCTGAGAAGCCTCCTAGAGTCCTCTTTGGGCCAGCCCAAGGATAAGAAAGAGTCTTCCTGAATTCCCAACCTACTCCATGGCCACAATCAGGGCAGGCAGAGCAGTTAGCACTTTTGACTCTGACTTGAGTACTTATGGTATTTATACCTTTCTAGATCCCAAAAGTGAAGTTCTCAACACCTAAGTAGCTAATAACCAGCTGAGCAGTTGTGTTACTCTTGGCTATTGTTTATTATAAAGAAAAGTGATTTGAAAATTTTATTTAAGTGACTCACTTCTAAACTATGAAAGATTGTGACTTTGGAAACGTAGACACCAGTGTTTCTCTCATCCTCTGTAAGTGTAACATACTTGTTTTAGGAGAACACCAAGGACTTCCAGATCAAGATAGCAGCCTGGGGCCAGGGATTTAGCTCAGAGGTTCCACTGTCTGCCTCGAAAGCACAAAGTCCGGAGTTCAATCCCCGGTACCAAAAAAAAAGAAAAAGAAAAAAAGATAGCAGCCTGGAAGACAAGGGAAGATAATACCTAGATCCACATTTAGCATTTTTTCATTCTAGTACAAAAAATACAGAAAAGGAAAAAATACATTTCTATTATAACCACGCATTCAGCACACAAAAACAGACATATGGACCAGTGGAACAGAATAGAAGATACAGAAACATCCCCAGACTCATTCAGCTATGTGATCTTTAACCAAAGGGCCAACAGCATACGATAAAGAAAAATAGCCTATTCAATAAAGGGAGCTGGGAAAACTGGATATCTGTTTGGAGAAAATTGAAGCTGTATCCATATCTCTCACCATGTTCTACACAAAAATCAAAATGGATGAAAGATCTAAACATTACAACAGAAACACTGAACCTACTAAAGACAAATAGGTAAAACACTTGAAGCCATGGGTGTGGGAAATGATATTTTAAACAGAACCCCAATTGCAAAGAAATAATAACAAGAATCAACAAATGGGATTACATCCAATTAAAAAGCTTTTGTGCAGCAAAGTAATCAATTAGTAGAATGAAGAGACAACCTACAGAATGGGAAAAAAATTTTGCCAGGTATTCCACAGTCAGAGGTCTAATATGTAGAATATATAAAGAATTCAAAAAAATAAGACCATCTAAAATAAAAGTCCCAGTCAAGAAATGGGCAAGTGAAATAAATAGACATTTCCCAGAAACAGAAGTACAGATGGCCAACAAGTATATGAAAAAATGTTAACACCTCTGGCCATTAGAACAAAGCAAATTAAAACAACACCAAGATTCCATCTCACACCAGAAAGAATGGCCATCCAGATGTCAACAAAGGGGCTGGGGATTTAGCTCAGTGGTTCTGCGGCCTGCCTTGCAACCACAAGGTCCCGAGTTTGATCCCCGGTACCAAAAAGAAAAAAAAAAAAAGACATCAACAAAATAACAAATACTGGTGAGGCTGCAATGAAAAAGGAACCTTCCCACATTGTTGGAGGGAATGCAAACTAGTACAACCATCATGGAAATCAGTATGGAGATTTCTCAAAGAACTAAAATTAGAAATTCCATATGACCCAGCTATCCCCCTTATAGGTACCTTACCCAAATAGCTAAGGACATCATACAATAGTGATACATGCATAACCAATGCTTACAGCAGCACAATTCATAATGGCTAAATCCTGGAAGCTGCTGTGATACCCATCAACAGATGAATGGATAAAGAAAATGTGCTATCTATACATAATAAAATATTACTCAGCTATAAAGAAGGATAAAGTTGAGATATTTGTAGGAAAATTGATGCATCTGGAAAATATAATGTTGAGTGAAATAAGCCAGTCACACAGCTTAAATACCACATAATATCTCTCATTTGAGTAAGGCAAAGTACAAACACAGAGAATAATGAAGAGTGGATAGCGCCGGGGATTTAGCTCAGAGGTTTCACCGCCTGCTGCGCAAGCACAAGGCCTGGAGTTCGATCCCCGGTACCAAAAAAAAAAAGAGTGGATAGAAGAAAATAAGAGGATAGATCTCTTGCAAATGGGAAAGGGTCCAGGAGACAGAAGACAAGGGGAGGATGGGAAGGGGAAGCATGTAGAAATATGATATGGCACATATGGGAACTTAATAACCTCAATGAATGTAAACATTAAACATGAACTGAAAATAATAACAAGAATGAAAATGGGGAAAAGGAATTTAGAGGTGAAGGGAGGGAGGTGGATGGAAAGGAAAAGGGGGCTAAAGAAAGAAACAAGCTAGGGCCGGGGATTTAGCTCAGTGGTTTTGTCACCTGCTGTGCAAGCGCAAGGACCCGAGTTCAATCCCCGGTACCAAAAAAAAAAAAGAAAAAAAGAAACAAGCTGTATTATGTACATGTACCCACTCCCCAAGATGAACGTAAATATCGTGTACTGCAAACTTGCACTAATAAAAGAAAAAAAGAAATGAAATGATTATTTGTAGATGACATGATCCTCTACATAGAAAACCCAAAAAAATCCACCAAAAGACTTTTAGAATTAATGGCCAAATTCAGTAAAGTAGCAGGATACAAAATCAACACACAAGGGCCAGGGATTTAGCTCAGTGGCACCACACCTGCCTCATAAGCGCAAGGTGCTGAGCTCAATCCCCAGTATGGAAAAAAAAAATCAGCACCCAAAAATCAATAGCACTCCTGTAGACTAACCCACTGAGATAGAAATTAGGGAAAAAACACCATTCACAGTACCACCAAGAGAAATTAAATACTCAAGAATTAACCTAACTAAGGAAGTTAAATACCTCTACAACAAAAACTACAGTACCATAAAAAAGGAAATCTAAGAGGACATCATAAAATGGAAAGATACCCCCTGTTCCTGGATATGCAGAACCAATACATAGTGACCATACTTCCAAAATTCATACACAGATTTAACACAATCCCAGTCAAAATTCCAGCAACATTCTTCACAGAGCCAGAGAAAACAACCAGAAAAGATCCAGAATAGCAAAAGAAATCCTGGCTAAGAAGAGCGAGGCAGGAGACATCACAACCCCAGTAA